TCAAGGCAGACAGGAGAATGTCTCACCGGCTTCGGTTGTATTTTGGATCGGGTCGCAGTAACACTGCACCGGAGTTGGAGCAGCTGAATGGGGCAGTGGAGGACGGAGATGAGAGTGGCTACAGTGGCACAGGGGCCACGATGTTCCATACATGGATACAAAACGAAGGACTTTCTGAGAGCCCAGAATTGGGTGCTTGTTCGGATGCCTCTCTAAAGCGAAGCTCTTCCATGTTCATCCCACAGCTCCAGGGTCAAACTGAACCACGGACGACCAAGAGCACCTCTGTCCAGATATCTCTCCAACGCACAACTGCACCTCAAGAGGATGCATTGCCCTTTGATCCACCTCCAGGGTACCCTGAGGAGCCAGCTCCCCCATACACTGAGCCTGGTGAAAGCTGGCTCTTACCTCCACCTCCAGCTTACCACATAGGAGAAACCCCGTCCTGCCAAAATGTGGATCCATGTCAACCAGGTACTGAGCCCATCCAGCCTAAGAGGCAAGTCTTTTGCATCCGGCCATGTGATGGAAAAAACGGTAATGCTAGTTTGGGTGTACCCAGTAATCAAGGGATTACCATTGGAGGCTTTTGTATTCAAAGAAGATCCGCAGATGGCTTGGATGTCCAGCGGTTCAGGATCATGCCATATAGCGAGAATGGCCAGAATGGCCACCGTTGGTCTGTCCAGCAAAGCTCAGATAGAGGTCCTGGAACACAAAGACTTGTATTCCAACTTCAACAGGACCAAGGACGGCACCCTAGCCCTACTTCTCAGGCTGATGTGAGTGATTTGGGCATCACACGTATTAAAGGCAGCCCCTTGGTGCGGTACCCTCGGATCCAACTTGAGAGGAGCACCTCACAGCCGATGCAGCCCAGAGGAGCTCCTTCACGGCTCGGATCTATGCCAAATCTTCATGCCCCGGTCTCAGAAATGGAGACCGAGAGTGAGATTGTTGAGAGCGGTGCTCAAGGTTGCACATTCAAAATTAGGAAGGAGCAGAACTCCCGACAGCCCAAGTTTAAGATCTATTTCAGCCATGGAGGTGAGCACAGCCCCATCTTATCACGGGATATTAGCTTTGGAAAGGTCCCTACCTGCAGCAATCCACAGGTAATTACAGCAGAGGGTCTAAAGTTGAGCTGAAAATGAAGCACATAATTTTTTAATTTATTTTTTACATTTCAGGCTTGCTTTATTAACAAGCCATTGTTTAGTTACACAAAGTATGCTGTAGGGTGTAGACCTCTCAAAGTGTGTTTTAATAGTTTGTAAGTGGCTGGAGAATGGGAAAAACAGATGAAAGAAGAGGTAGCAGGATTTTGGTGGAGGAAAGAGGAGGTGGGTTGAGGAATGACTTACCCACATTCTGGGAAGTGAAAATTCCACGAAAATGGGGGCCAAGAGCAAGACGTAACCGCACCGTCTTTAGTTTCCCAACAAGCATACAAACTGTTATACTCGGTTTGATATTCAAGAAGTGGAAAATATATAGAAGCCAGAAGCATTTTCAGGCATAACTTCATTCATGGGGGCTTGTCCACTTGTACCCCCCCCCAATTCTCTTAAAGAGGAGCCTGTTCTATCTTTAGTCCCGTGTCAAGTGATGTTGTTGGTTTTGAAAGCGGCTTTTCTCCTTTGGCCTGGGTCACTGTTCATCTCTTGCAACAGCTGTTTAAGGTCTAATATATAGTTACACATAATGCTGTTCTTAGTATCAGTACCTTTAAAAAAAAAAGTATTATTGCTCAAATGTAGAAAATCTTCATGCATCATAGTTCTATTAAGCTCAAGGCTTTGTTTGAGTTTCTCACGTCTTAAGCATTTGCTTTTTCCAACGGTCCTCCTGTTTTTTTTTTGTTTTTTTTGCCACATGTAATTTGTCATTCCCTTCAGGTTACCATTGAGTTTACTGGCTTTGAAAGTCCCTTCAGTGATTCATTCCTGTTCATCTTAGAAACCAATTCATCAGTGTGGTGCTGACACGCTGTAAGTGTGTGACATTCATCAGTTTGTCACCAACCATTACTAGTACTCAAACTAGTACTCATCATGTGCAGAAGTCATAACAGCATCTTTCCGATGGAATGTGGAAAGCAGGACTTCAGTTTCACAGATGGCGTACTTGCAAACGGAAGGTCCGGAATCTCTGAGACGTCCACATTCTAGAATCTTCCTATTCTGCAATCAGGAATGTCACACACATACCTTCCCAATTTCCGAGGCAACTAACGGTAGCATATATATTTCCAGTACCTGCTCAAAAGGCTTTACTGGAAATGAGTCAGTCAAGCCGCTGAATGTTCCAGCAGCAGAGTTCATCATCTGAAGTGAAACTCTCTCACACAGATCTGTTTACTTCTCGCTGTCAAGACTGCTCTTTTGAATGCCTCAAGCATGTATTTGTTGATGTTACTTATCTAAAGATAAGGCGTGTAATACATCATAACCTGTAAAGTCCTTGTTTACAAAGAATATCCACTCTTACAATACAGTTCTGCATCAGTGCTTCTTTTTAATAAGATGCTTTTTACCAATTGCAATAGCTTTCACATAACTATGAAATTTCACTTATCATTTATTGCATTTGTCCCTTGCGGGGGTGCATGGGTTTCCTGTAGACCTGCCAGCGCTCTCAGGTTAATACATGTGACTGTTTGCTGTCTCACAAGTTTTAGCAAGCATGGTGAGGGGATGTGGGGGAATATCTCACTTAAGTCTGCTGTGGCAGATTTCTTGCAGAACTCAGGATTTAAAGCTTTAAAAAGCCTGTGTCTGCTCATAAGTAAGAGAAGAAGAGTTTTTTAGAGAGTTAAAATGAGGTTTAATGAAAGAGTCAAGCTCTGTCAGCATTTCCTATTGCTGTGGTACTTCACTGTTGTCGCTCAGACAGGAACCCTGCTGCTGAATTTGTAGGGGCTCCAGTCTTATTTTATCATCTCTGCGTGTTGCGGATCAGTTGTCGGAAGTTTCTTCTCAGGTCCTGTTTCATAACCCCTGACCCTAAACTTTACGGTCCTTAGCTGTGTGACCTATGGCTTAAAGTAATGGGCTCCTTTTTTCTTGTTTCCCTCCGTTTGATCCGTTGTTTGGTTTATTTAACCAGTTTTTTTTCCTTTTTGTGTTTGTCTCTTTAAACATGGCCTCTTGGTTCTCACTTCCCTGCTGTCTTGCTTTCTCTGTTTCTGCACTTTTCAGCCTCTTTAATGGCTAGAGTCGTCTGTTAACTCAGCTTTGTAATGGACGATGACTAAGCAAACATTTATTTTTAACACTTGTTGTGGGAACAGTGCTTTTAGGGTCATAAAGACATGATATCTTAATGGTCTCGAAGTCACTTTGAAGTTAAAAGACATCAGTTAAATAATTTTCACTTCTTCAGAGCATCACTTTTATTGCAGAAGGATAGGAAAATAGTTTCCTTAGTGACAGGACTGTTTGCCAAGACACAATGGACATAATTCTTGAAGTTAAAAGACATCAGTTAAATAATTTTCACTTCTTCAGAGCATCACTTTTATTGCAGAAGGATAGGAAAATAGTTTCCTTAGTGACAGGACTGTTTGCCAAGACACAATGGACATAATTCTTCTACAGTGTGACCTTTAAGACTCAACTAGCTTTCTAGGTCATTCCTTCATACTTTTTGGTTAAATAATGGCTTAATTTTGCTTCTGTTTGTGATTCACAACTGTTGTTGGTGGTTTGGAGTAGGGCTGAACGATTTTGGAAAATAATCTAATTGCAATTTTTTTTTACCAATATTGCGATTGCGATTTAATATGCAATCTTGCTTAACCTCTACTTTAGGTAATTCAAAGTCACTGTAATAAACATACAGTATGTAAACATGTGGACTGCACTAAACACTGTCTGTTAACTTTAGACCACGTGGTTGTCAAACTTTTTTGGTCGAGGCTGTAACCCCATTTGGCTCAGAAATGCTTAACATTTAATCAGAGGAATGTCTCAGACACGGTGGGTTTTCTGCGATGAATAGGGGCTTGAGAATGTATTTGTGGCCCTGTCGTTCACTCGCCATCACAAATAGTGACTCATACTTAACCTTTCCACAATAAATGAGCTTTGTTGTTCACTCATTCTGCTGTTCTGGTGCTCACTAACTGGGTTTGAGAAGGATTATTTTATTTTATTATTCTATTCTATTCTATTCTATTCTGCGATCAGCTATGCTTATCAAGAGTGTTTTTGGGCTGTTTTTCTAAAGCCTTAGGATTGGTTTCCTGCTGCCAGAGTGTATCATTGTTTGAATCGGACAATATTGTTCCAAATGTGGTTCCTGTTAACTACACCTGCGTGTATTTAAATTAATTTAACAGTGTTGCATTAATGTCATTTTCAATATGAAGCATTTTCATGGTGGTTCATTTACATTCAGTGCCCTAAACATTGTGTAACCCTAACTGGGGGTATGTACTCGTCCTTGTTGTCTTAATAAGTTTATTCCACACACAGGCACACATTGGTCATGATCGGTCCAAGAATGAGCATTTCAACCATGGTCAGGTAATCTACTGGTCTACCACGACCCAAACACCTGACAATCACAGCTGACAATCTCACAATTTGGCTTATTGGAATTGGTGGGTGGAATGAAGGCTTGTGATTGGCGGTTCATACATTAATACACTCCTTCTGACTTTGACCTTTGACCCTCACTCATTGCCCATCTGCTGCTCCTCACTGGGTTGGTTGTGAGGTTTTTCCCATTTTAAGTGACACTTTGGAAATTAACACTGCCCTTATTACGGTATTTCCTTCTGTATTTCCTTCTTTCTCTCTCTTTCTCATACATACACATTCATTTATTCTTCTTGGGTTATACAGGTGTGTATTTATCCTCATCTTTGTGGTTTTCCTTGCCAAGTCCTGCTAAAGTCAGTCACTGTTTCAAAGCCAAATCTCTACATTACTACTGTTTCTGTTATTTTAATTTCTTCTCGCCCTCTCTTGTTGTTTCTCTTTCTTATACAGACCAGAGATGACTTCCTCGGGCAGGTTGACGTGCCTCTTACCCATTTACCGGTAAGCTCATGTGCTCTTCTGTTGCTCAAGTAGATATCTTTTTGCTGTTCTGATCTCAGGAGCAAGATTTAGCTCTGAACTGAAGAGATGGAAGTTATTAAGGGTCACATGACCGTAATTAGGCAACTCAAATGTTGGAGACCATATCCCTGTACGGAGTGGAAAGGGAATTGCTTGGAATGTAAACACACAGGCCGCTACTGAGAGGGCTATCCCAACTTAAAAGAATCACTCTGTCAAAAAAGGGACATGCTTCCAGGGTGGCCCAGTTTAACCCTTACCACAACATTATTGAATAATGCAGTAATGCTTGGTCAGTTCAGCATTCCATTCATGTGAAAATTCATGATATGATGTGGAATACTTGACCATTTAGCTAATCAATGAACACCACCAATTGATTTTAACCCTAACAAAGGCTAGGTTTATGTCATCAACTGTATATCTTCTAGTACAGTGCTTCTCACAATGTGGTACTTTACAATCTTGGTTAGGGCTGCACGATAAATCGCATGCGATATTTAATGCGCATCTTGTCAGAAAGCCGGTTGTGTAATCAGCGGTAAATCTCCATCACGTGCGTGCTTTCACATTGAACAGCATTAACTACATAGAGCCGTTGTTCGCTGACGAGCTGCGAAAAAAATCGCGCGAATATGAACGTGGTTTTGCGCAGCTCGTCAGTTATTAGTTTTCAAACTCAAAATGTATGCATGCGTTTGGAAAAATATAAATGTTTTTTACAAAAAAATTGTCTGAATTTTAATTTAAATACGTTTTAAAATATGATTATATTCTATGCTCTAAAATATGTGTAATGTATTTGTAAGTTATATTTATTATAATTTAATTTGAAAATATTTTTCAAAAAAAGAATATTTTTGTTTGAAAAATAATATAAATATTTTAAAATATATTTTGAATGTTTTATACAAAATAGTCTAGTACAGTAATAATATTACAATAAATCACAATATAGCATAGCCTTTAATACCTTATTGCTTCAAAATAGTCCAAACAACACATCGTCTCAAAGAAGATAGGTGTTGGCAAGTTTTGTGCTTGACAAAATCTTTGGTTTTCAATATGGTATTTTGTTCCAGTTTACTTGTTTTGAACAAGAGATTGTTTTCCTAAACATTTAGGAATGGAACAACTCTTGGTTTTATTTAAACTATTTCCAGTGGCAAAGTGAGATTTCTTTGCTGGATTGCATATTTAGGCTCGCACACACGGAGTTTAGTCTGTTTTTCTTGTGGCCGCCTACATATCTACTGTTCAGTTCTGCGTGGTTGCAGTCCAGACCACGCGCTCCTTTTCTGCCTGCTCTTATTGCTGAATATTTAAAAGTGGTTTCCTATACTTGGATCAGACGTGTATATATGGATTTATATTTCCTTAGAAATTTGTTTATTGATTAAGCTACCTTGTGGATTTTTGGTTTGACTGGTTTTGAAGTCTGAATGCTTTTTCACCTCCTATTTGATCTAGACTTGCCAAACAGGAAAACTCGCCCGTTTTCCTTCAGGGCCTCCCATCTTTCCTCACATAGTTTTGGTTTCGGGCACCGGCAGAAGTGCCAAATCCATCAATTTCCATCAGATTGTTGCCACTAATGGCCAGCCGTGAATATCCAACCTGTGGGCAGTTTAAATATAACAGGAGAACAGTGTTACATAAGACAGCTGGGCGTCATCCAAGGGTCTATATCTCTCGTTCTCCACCCCCAAACAAGCTGGGACTGTTACATATTAATGCTTTGTAAGTTTGAACTGAGATTGGCCCAGATTTTATTCATGTTTGTTGATTTTCTGTGTTGTTTTGTTGGTGTATAGACAGAGGACCCTGCAATGGAGCGGCCGTACACGTTTAAAGACTTTCTCCTGCGTCCAAGAAGGTCAGTGGTCATGCAGCTTTCACAAACACAGTAAAGGAACATTAGCGGTTATATTTAAAGTTACAACAGGGTGATGTGTTGGTTTTGCACTTTGACCTTATTCCGAGGACTGGACATTTTATACAATACAGCACATTTGAGGTTTGTCAGTTCTTTCGGAATGAAATGTGCAACTATCACACGAACACCTGTGAATCCTCTTAATGCTCTGTGTAACCGTAGTTACGGCCAAAGCTTTTACACAGGAACAGTTAATGCATGTGGACTGTACTTTGCTATATTTTAATGTTATCCTTGATGACTCTGCTTCACTATAAACTATACTTCACTATACAGTGATTCTCAACCAGAGATAATCCCCTCTTTTTTAAAACTGTTTAGTTTATAGGAAAAATATTGGGGCTCTTAAAAGATTAAAATAATTTCAAACAATTATTCAAACAGTTAAATTCCTTGTAATTAAGGGCTTCGAAAGAATACAAAATAATGTGTTAAAAAAATACTGTTTTTACTATGCTCTATGATGACTTGTGTGATGACATGCTTTTATGTCCTGTAGTCATAAGTCTCGGGTGAAAGGCTGCCTGAGGCTGAAGATGGCCTACCTGCCAAAGAACGGAGGGCATGAGGAGGAAAGCAGCGAGATGAGGGAAGAAGCTGAGGTAAAACCAACCCATTCGCAGAAACATTCTTGTATATCTATATATCTCTCTCGCTCCTTTGAATGTCTCAACTCAAAAAAAAAAAAAAAAAAAAAAAGTTAATTGTTAGTTCAGGGTTTCCGCGGGTCCTTAAAAAGTCTTAAGAGGTCTTAAATTTAGTTGTATCATTTAAGGCCATAAAAAGTCTTAAATGGTACAAGAAAGTCTTAATTATGATTTCAAGAGGTCTTAAATTTGGGGAGGGAAAGACAAGAACTGCGATATGGCTTAATCTGACGATTTAACTTCAAAAGGCGATGACTTCATTGAATAAATATGAGCGCTGAATGTTTCAAAGTCAGCTGCTGTGCTGCTTTGTTTACAGTCGTAGAAACCGCTCTATTTCTGCCGTTCCGACAGTGCCATCTGTTGGCAGAGAATGAATTTGCATTTTCAACAAGCCCGTCTGCTGTTTTTGTTCAGACCAATGCGAACATCCACCCATGTTTTTATGCAGCAAACATGCAGTTGTAAATGTGAAATGGTAGATCGATAAGAAGATAATGCATTATAAAAATTTATATAATAATTGATACTTTTGACTTTTAATTCAATTTCTTAAAAATGGTTTAAAAAACTTTGTTTTTGTGAAAACCTGTATCTGAATTCTTTATACTCTGTTGAGTATGGTTTCACTAATAATAAACATACATTTGCATAAAGCATCCATATTTGTCCATGCCCATTTTGATTAGAGTATTAAAAACTTAAAAGGTATTAATTTAAGGTACATTTAAAACAGATAAAAATGTGCGATTAAGTTGTGATTAATCACAAATTAACTCATGACAATCATGCAATTAATCGTGATTAAATATTTTTATTGATTGACAGCCCTAGTTATAAGACAAGATAATTTTTAAAAATATGACGAGACACTAACAATGTTTTTTAATGTAGTACATTGATTCAGACAATCACATTTATCTACTAAATCATCAACTCACTCATAAATGGACAAAAATTAATGAATATGACATGAAATGAAGTAAATAAATAATAAGCGCAGTGGCATCTAAATTACAGAAAATTTTTTGAAAGATAAAAACTATAACTGAAACTTGCCTTTTATTTTAGAAAACAATCATGTACATGGAATTGCAGTTGTCGAAACATGTACGTAGATGTAGACCAACATTGTAGTAGATATACTCCAATATTATAGAACATGGCAGATAACTGAAAGATGTCTTGAAATGTTTTCTATCCAGAATGGAGAAACACTTAAATGTCTCCTTTCTTGCTTTAACTCCTTCTTTTCAGTGATTTTAGTGTCTATTCATCCTCATCCCCACAGACTACCTGGCATTTTTCGTTTAAAGTATGCCATTTGGCTTGAACCATTTGACTGTCTGGCATTTCCTTCTTTTACCTTTCTTGGCTTCCTGTTCTCTGACTTTTATTCCCACTGTTCAGTTTTCAGTTTGGTTTGATTTTTTTCTTTTTTTCCTCTGCTAGGGGAGAGTGCTGTGTCATAGCAGCTGCAATACTAATCAAAACGTATTAAGATGGAATAGGAGAAAGTATTTAACATTTGAAAAAAACTGAGACTTTCAACTTTTGTTCTTGAAAATAACCTTGTCCCTAGATTTTTTGCAATGATCATTTTTGGTGCTAATATACTAAAATTTTGAAGACTGTCTCACTCTCACTTACTCTTCTGTCTCTCACTTTGTTCTTCTCAGGGCTGGGAGGTGACAGACTCCACGGATCCAGGTTCACAGAGACCTCAGCAGCTCCTGCCTCCGCTGCCTCCTTGCTGGGAAGAGAAGGTCGATAACCTGGGACGGACATACTATGTCAACCACAACAATCGCACCACACAGTGGAAGAGGCCCAGTAGTGTGTATGTGACCTCTTTTGTCATTTATCAAATAGCACATGTAAAAATGAGCAAAAAAACTGAAATCAGAATTTTGATGTGACTGTTTTTGTGACATAAAATGTTATCTTGTAGATTCGTCTGCAAATGACTAGTTAATGCGCCATTATGTTGAATGTATCATGATTTTCTGACAGCCGTACCAGACTCTGATATGTGTGGAACATGTTTTTTCTCCCTATCTTTGTTTTAGGGATGTGGTTTCAGAAACGGAAAATGATAATCACTTACGGCATATTAACCAGGAAGCCCACAGAGTTTTCCGCTCTCGACGGCACATTAGCGAAGACCTGGAAAATGAGCAGCTGGACATCAGGGACATAGACGACGTTAGTATTTCACTCCGATCTCTGCAGCTATGACGTGAGCTAGATAGCATCATCCTTTCTGTGAAAAGCTTTTGGTTCTAAATAAAGTATCTCACTGTGGCTAAAAATTAAAAGATTATCAGATGTTTTTACATATTTAGTGTTAATAAAAGCAATGTTATGTTAGGGTCTCATGCATATCCTTCCTTTTCCAGTCATGGGAACCCATATCAGAGGAGGACCCAACTTTAATGGCGGACGGTCTAAACCATTCTCTGACCGGACCCTCCTCTCTGGCGATGCCCCTCTCCAGCACTCCAGAATTCTCAGATGAAATCAGCCTTAGATTGTCTCTCACTCCAGACATGAATGGAGAAATCCCAGGACCCAGCTCTGCTGTGGTAAGAGAGAACAAAGTTTTAAATCTGCTGTCATCCATGTTCAAAGGGCCAGAGAGCGAATGAGAGAGAGAGGAAAGTAAATAAATAAATAAACAACTACATTCTATGACGCAACAACAGTAGTATTTGTAAAATTATAGTGGGTTGTATACATACATATATAAATACATACAGTGGGTATAAAAAAGAATGACCCCCCCTTTAAAATAATCACATTTTGTTGTGATTCTGGAAATTATGTTGGTGTTATATCTTTCACTTGAATGTTATAAGTTGCACTGAGTAAATGCAGCTGAAATGAGAAGAGGCAGTATGAGAAGAAAAGAGGCAGTGCAGTATGGCTCTATATCAGCACGGCTACTCAAGTGATATTGCTCCTGTGACTTATGAGGTCTTATTATGCTAGTAGGATTGATTTTATTGAAGCTGTAGTGATTATGATGTCATCGGATGAGATAAGTTGACGTGTTTCCATGATGATAATGTGACTGTTGGAGTTCTCCTAATTGATCATTTAACAGTGCAGCTTGTTCAGTAATGTTTGTAAAGAAGTGCTGCATTCTATTAAAGAGCTGCTTCGTAATTGTCGCTGCATGGGGGCATTTCCAATTTTTAAGAGACAGCTTGCCAAAATAATTTCTCACTGTTACAAGCAACAATAATGTAGTTTGTTTCACGCTTTAAGATGCGCAAGCGAAACATTTTGAGTGGTAAATAGTGTGCTGTCTCTTTAAATGATCTGTCATCTGTTAGCATGAGGCAGGAAACACACACAGACACTGGATGTTTCACTGGAAGTGCACCACGTCTTTGAAGCAATTGTTATATCTTTCACTTGAATGTTATAAGTTGCACTGAGTAAATGCAGCTGAAATGAGAAGAGGCAGTATGAGAAGAAAAGAGGCAGTGCAGTATGGCTCTATATCAGCACGGCTACTCAAGTGATATTGCTCCTTTTTAAAAAAAAAAATTCTACATCAGGGTATTATGTGTGAAATTCTTGAAATGGTGAGTAAAATTGTATTATTAAGAGTGTCAAAACGAATAGCTGACTCCACACACGTGCACCTCTGTACACTCATGCTGAATCACTCAGTGAGTCACTGTGGGTGCAGCGCAGGGGTCCTCTGTGAGCTTCTGCAGGAAGGAGCCACTCAGTTGGGAAAATCTTTGTTCACACTACACTTAAGACTGGATTGTTTTTAAAATGCATTGTTTTGTACTGAGTGACTTTTGTGGTATTTGCAAGTAACGAAACTGGATAATACATTGCTCATTTGTTCAGACAATGTAGTCTACATGTCTAGATGAAAAACTGTCTGGAATAGGCTCAGACTTCTGATCCGTTTCTATTTGTAATTGTGTTAAACAAAGCTGAAGTTGCTACACTCTCTTTTTGTGGCTGAAAGTATAGTAAAATTAGATGAAATGTTTAATAAAAGCAAGGGGCCTAGAGTAAACTGAAAATGTTGCTTCGGCTGATGCCTATCATGACATCTGCCACAGTGGTGAATTCACAAAGCGTAGCAGATACATAAGCGCCAGAGGCGTTACTGTAAGTATACATTGATGCATATGCCTATGTGTTTGAAATCGCTTGATCACTCACTCATCTATCATTCAATACTGAATGGCACATGTGAATTTAGATGAATTCAGACGGCTTTGGACACTACTGAACTTTGTGTATGAATTTGGTCGTCACTTCACATTCGAAATGACAAAAAAAACAAACAAAAAAACTTGAAAGCAGAGGTTGTAAAAAAAAAAAAAAAAGCTTTAAATATTAAGGCATGAAATATGAAATTAAGTTAAATTAAATATGAAATTAGTGTTTTATTTTTTATGTTAGCTTTGCGCACTACTGAACTTTGTGTATGAATTTAATCACGTCATCCCATCTGACAAAAAAAAGCAGAGTTTGTAAACAAAACATGCATATTATTCAATATTATATTATTTAAATGATTTAAAATAAATATTAAGGGTTTTCTTTTCTTTTCGGGGTATAAACTACAGATTCAGCTAAGCCAAAAAATCTCATTTTTGTTCATCTGACTTCTTTTTTTAATGACTTGGCTGAATTCCGTTCAGAGGACCACTTAGAAAATGACCACTCCGAAAGATGTTAGATATTTATGTCTTTATTTATTTATAACCATGCCTAATGCCTTTTTATCTATTTCTCTCACTCCAGCAGAGTCATCTTTCCTCTCGGCTACGCTCCTCTAGTATGACTGATGGAGTCAGTGATCAAGCTCAACCTCCCACACCGACGGTACATCTGCTTTTCTCCTCCTCACCTCTCCTTCACTCTGCATGTGGTGTTTTTTTTCACTCACTCACTCTCAGTATGATACAGTTTTTCACTCTTTCAGCGTCAAATCAAGAGCTATAAACTCCCTAACACATTCCAAAGTTCACCTGATTTCAGAATGTTCCTGTTGTCTCTAATGAACATCTTGGCTGCTTTTGGGAATGCCATGAATGCGACAATAGGAATCTTCGGTAACACTTTATACAATGCTTTAAAGTCAACATGAAGTTAAAAATCGACCATGTTTACTTCATTAAAACACATTCCTGATTGTATTGTAAATGATTTATTAATTCTGATTCATTCCAAAAACAATTCTGTGAATTTTCAAAGAGAAAAACATGTTTGTCTCTTATTTTCCCTCCCAGTCAATTCCAGATGGAAAAAAAACTTGCAATTTTTAAAATGGGTTGCAAATAAATCTTTCATGTTGACTTTAACAAACTTTGGAGCCTTGTCACTACTGACACGTTGTACCTTGATGCTCATATAGGTGGCACAGGTTCAAATCTGGCTTGGAGCATTATCCTGACCACGTTTTCCATATCTTACTCATAACATCCGTCCTCTTTCTACTATATCTGTTGAATAAGAATCAAAAGGTAAAAATAATAATTTAAAAAAACCACATAATGCTTGAAAGATCATTAATGCACATACACAGGTAGTTAGAAATATCATGAAACTTTGATTAATATATATATATATATATATATAAAATCATTTATTAATATTTGACTGATCTGTTAAACATTATATCATGAAAATGACTAAATTAGTGTTATTATAAAATGACATCTATTGTTTGCTCAGAAATGTAGCACCTGTCTATGTGTTTGTGTAATTTTTGTGTGCATATGTCAAATGATAATTCAGAGTGACTTATGAGGTCTTATTATGCTAGTAGGATTGATTTTATTGAAGCTGTAGTGATTATGATGTCATCGGATGAGATAAGTTGACGTGTTTCCATGATGATAATGTGACTGTTGGAGTTCTCCTAATTGATCATTTAACAGTGCAGCTTGTTCAGTAATGTTTGTAAAGAAGTGCTGCATTCTATTAAAGAGCTGCTTCGTAATTGTCGCTGCATGGGGGCATTTCCAATTTTTAAGAGACAGCTTGCCAAAATAATTTCTCACTGTTACAAGCAACAATAATGTAGTTTGTTTCACGCTTTAAGATGCGCAAGCAAAACATTTTGAGTGGTAAATAGTGTGCTGTCTCTTTAAATGATCTGTCATCTGTTAGCATGAGGCAGGAAACACACACAGACACTGGATGTTTCACTGGAAGTGCACCACGTCTTTGAAGCAATTGTGCTTCACTTAAATGGCATGATTCCTAGCCTTGAAACTTTTATGTATTTATTTTCTGCAAAGTTCCTGCAGATTGTTTTCATGTGGCACAGTCTGATGACTCCATCTGCTACTGTGTGCGATAAGGCTGTTTGAAATGAGCTTTGTGGATGGGTCACGAGGTTGGGTTAGTTCCTTGAATGTTTTGGTGTCCATTTCATTATTGTATCGTGGCATTTAGATGCAATGCATGCTGGGAATTTCCCAGATAAGATCTGGCAGCTCGCACAGGATAGCTCCAATAACCTTGTGCTGTGGATTAAGATCAGTTGTTAAACCTTATAAAGGCATAAAGCAAATGTGATGCACACTCAAATTGGATTTGCTTCTGTAAGCCTTCTATGATTCAATTGTTTGTAGAGCTTTATTTATATGAATAATAGTTGTACTAACAAGGTTTTCAGAACCATATTAACACATGACTTTGGAATAGTTCACCCATAAATGACAATTGTTATCATTTACTCATCCTAATGCCATTCCAAACCTGATGGAGTTTCTGTCTTCCATAGAGCACAAAAGATGAATTTATGAATGTTTGTGCTGCTCTTTTTCATACAACAACATATTGAGGCCGGGACCTGTCATGCCCAAAAAGGGCAGACAGATGTACAGATATGGCCAATACAACTTAAGCTCTATATTCCATGTCATCTAAAACCATACTATAAGAAAAGGCAGACTTTATACTGCTGTTCAAATGTTTGGGGTCAGTAATATTTTTTAGTTTTTTAATACTGTTTTATGCTCGCCAAGTCTGTATTTTTATTTGATCAAAAATACAGTGAAAATAGTAATATTGTGAAATATTATTGCAATATAAAATGTTTTCTATATGAATGTATTTTAAAATGTAATTTATTACTGTGATGGTAAAGCTGAATTTTCAACATTATTACTCCAGTTTTCAGTGTCACATGATCCTTCAGAAATCATTCTAATATGCTGATCTGCTGCTCAATATTTTTGTGGAAACTGCGATTTATTTTTATTTTTTTAAGAATTATTTGATTTAGGTTTAAAAATGGCATTTATTTAAAATAGAAACCTTTAACATTAACATTCTAAATGTTTTTACTGTCACTTTTGATCAATTTAAAGGGGTCATATGATGCGATTTAAATTTTTCCTTTCTCTTTGGAGTGTTACAAACTCTTAGATCTGTAAAGTTGCAAAGACCAAAGTCTCAAATCCAAAGAGATATTCTTTATAAAAGTTAAGAGTCAACCACGCCTACCTAAAATGGCTTATTTTAACACGCCCCCACATGTCTTTGTCACGATGTGGGAAGATTTGCATAACACCGCCCAAATGTTCACACAAAGAAAGAAGGCGTAACTTTTATTCTCGCTGTAGTATTGTTATTGCTGCCGCCATGTCGTGAAGACGCTGTGTGTTTCATTGTGAAAGCGAAACTACTTTGTTTGGCCTTCCAAAAGAGGAC